ACACTTGGGTTTCGTAACGAGTATGTACATACAAATTATTAAGCAAGTTATAAGCAGCAACTGAACTATGGATTCATGGGTTTCCAAAAGAATAAGACAGGTATTTTAAACTTTTATTGACTCTACTACAGATATTCAACAAGTGTGAGCTATCGTCATAAATGTCCTGCGTCCTGCGTAGTAGACCTTCAAGGAAATGTGTTCTAGGGGTGTGGGGGACTCATTCATAGTGTACGTGTAGTATTTTGCCGGGTAGTGGCGAGGGAGTGGGAGTGGCCCATTCATGGTACGGAGGTTGTAAACCCATGAGTGTGGGTGGAGCGGCCGCTAAAACACCAGGTCGCCGACGAACATCAGATAGGGAGTATCTTGTCGCCTAGTTTCCGGTCCTAATTGGGGACTGTTTCGGGATACAAAGTTTTGGAGTGTCTATTTGTATCTGGAACTTGATGACCGTGACGAAGAACACGATTGTAAATGGACATCTGAATCGGTCGGAGTAACCGATGAATTGAGAATGTTGAGAAGGGTAATTTCTTAGAGGTCGCTTGAGATTGGAAGTACTATTTTGAGAAACGCTCTTTCTTATGTTAGTCACTATTACGTAGAAAACTTGGCCTAAAGTGGTAGACTGTTGGTTTTGTTGCAGGTAAAGAAAAAAGTATCAGGCTTAAAAAATCCTATGGTTTAAGTTTTCAGGAATTATTCCCAGTATTAGATTAACACAGAATTATCGAATTGTTTGATTGTGCTCTTGTAGTAAAAATTGTATTTTTACATATTTTTAGATTGGTTTTTTGTAGTTAGAGAAACAGTGATGTACAGTATTGATTTTGTTATTGCAAAATCACATAGATGCACCTCAATTCAATGCATTTTCATTTAATGTTGTATTTGGTTTTTGGTTGTGTTGACATTATTCTGTGGTAGTGTTTAATGTAGGCCTTATTAAGGAGAAGAACAATTTTAATCTACAAACAACTATAACATTGAGTCAGCTATTTACAAGAAATTCTTATAACATGCATTTACACTGATAAATTGTAAATAGCAAATTATATTCGTTTCAAAACATCCCTACTTTACAGGCTGTTTGAAAACATTTCATCTCAGAACGTTGTTTCTGTAGTAGATATAAGTTCTATTGCATGCTCGATGTGTATATTTAAAGTTGATTGTGGCGCGGCGCGTCTACTGCGCAGGCTCTAGTACATCGCATGCGCGGAATGTTGGACTCGCTTCAGCGCGCGGACGCGAACATTCCCGCGTTTTCGTGACTGCCGGCTAATCGTCCTCCTCTTGTGGGTTTAAGCGGATCCTCTTCTCTCCTCTACCTTCGGAGTATCCTCCCATTGAGAATAATACTTTGGTCTAATGCTGACGTGAAACCCCGGTTTTGCACCGATAATGATAGTAATTTAAATTAATAAATGAAGTCTTAATGATGAACTGTTAACTTAAATAAATATAGTTTTTAAGTAAGACTAGTTGCTCTGTCCGTGCTCCGCTACGAGTTGAGAATTTTTTTGTCCTAAGGACGCTAGGCACGAGCCTGGGATTGTTTTTCACATTACTTCAGGCTAGACCTAGGGGTTGCGGCATTATCATTTAGATAAAATCCATTGGTGACTTGGCGGGGATCGAACCCGGGACCTCAGTGACTGAAGTCCCGCGCTCTAACCACTACGCCAGCTTGCTCCCCAACGAGTTGAGAATAAAGAAAAGAATAATGCGTTTTTTATTTACTTAGTTACAACACACTTACCAGACATCATAGTGGTAAAGCTCAATTTTACTTATCGCTCATTTTAATGAAGAACTCTTATGTAATGCCAAGATTGGATTGGACATTGGATTGGGGGTAATCAATAAGCTGTGAGGCATAATCAAAACTTTAACTTCTCCGAAACGTAGATATATAGACAATCTATAAGTATTTAAAAGTTAACTAGGAAGGGGAAAAATAAATAAATATAAATTAGTAAAATCAAATGTTACCGCTGACTTATTTGTAATATTTTAAATTGTGATTTAAAAAACAACCCTTTAACAAAGGCATGTGCCCTTAAGAGAAGGTTTATCAAAAAACTGATATTTTTCATTGATAGGTGTGCGGCTTACGGTCTCCTTAAAAGTTCAAATCCTTCTTACCTTTATTATTTAGATCTGAAAATAGTCATAAAATAGTTTTATTTGTAACGTAATTTTATTTTTCGTCTTGGATTTTTTCTAAGCAGTGCTGAATAATCATATGAACTTATTTTTAATTTCACCATTAGGTCTAATAATTGAACACTATCAACGTAAACAGTACCACGGAAACAGTTTCACGTAAAGTAGTTTACTTAAAAAAAAATGGAATCTGCAAGCTTTAGATGAACTTGTATTGCTTGTAGAAATCCCAAGAAAGGCCCTAATTTAAGTTGTTAAATATTTAATGATTTATGGATTTTGTAAAAAAAAATAGGAAAATTTTAGTATGAACAACTGGCACTATTTGCTTCAACACGTAAAAAGTAGTTTACTCTAAAAAGTCAAAGCCTTCGGCTTTATCTAAAACGGATTGTAGAAATTACCAAATTACCAAAAAATGTTTTTGTGAATATTTTAAATCTCTGGTTTTTCATAGAGTTTTTCATGAAATGAAAGTTAATCTCTTTTAATTGAGTACTATGACTATCAAAATCAACACGAAAATACGTTTACTTCATCAGGAAGCCTTTTTAGCTGGACAGCTTTGTAGAAATGCCCGAAAGGACCCTCATTTCTGTTGGTAGTGAATATTTCATGTTTCTAGTTTTTGTTGAGTTATTAAATGGCGTTAATGGCGTTTTAGGGTAATTTACCCTTTTAAATCAGGAGCCAATTGGCTAAGTAGGTCCAGTTTTAAATGGAGATTAGGGTGCACTGTTGAATATTTATTATTGCAATTAAAAAACGTTCCTCGAATAATTCCTTTTCACACGTCTTCTCTTCATTCCTTAATTATGCATGATCCTGGAATTGCTGCTGGATAGCAATTCTTGATACCGACCAATCAAGTATCCAAGGGCTTTACATACCGGAAGTGCTCCAGTCCTGCGTCCTGAGGGAATCATTCCTCTTTCTCCCTTTATTCCTGTCCGCACTGATCGCTCTGGAATCCTCATCTACATATGAATACAGTTTCCGGTCAGCACACCATGGCACAGTAGGTCAACGACTGGCGATGGATGGGAGTTGGACTCAGTGAGCGAAATAGATCTCAGATCTCGGTAGCACAGCCAGTTGAGACGCATCAGCATCAATCGTTGAGTTTGGACCATGGTTGAACGTAATTTTCAGAAAAGATCAAATCGTCGGTAGGGAGTTTCTGTGTCATCGTAACATACATAGTGTTCGATGATAAATATTTTGCCATTAAAAACTATACATTCCATGGGTAACCTACCTATGTATTTTGATAGGAATCAAACTTTACCAAAGCTTATTTATTATGAACTATGTGCTATTATGGCTATTTTTTTTATCGTGTGTGTTGTGAGAACGGAAAAAAACGTTTTTGAACTGACTGTTGGGCCAATAACGTACTCCTCTTTGAGCTGATGATTTTAAAATTTTAGCACAGCAACGGTAGCTCTTGTCCAGCAACGCGAATATTTAATTTGGTATAACAGTTATTTAACCGAATAAAATATACATAGTGTAATGTTTATGTTACTGGTATGCACCCTAGTTCATCAACGTCAGTTTTCTCTTGAACAACAAATTATTGTTTACTAATAAAATTTGTTTTGTTTTTGGTTTTACGAAAAGTGTAAAAATGTTGATGATGTTCTTAGTTTAAAACTTTAGCTGCGAAATTTTATGGAAGAAATGTCTCTGTCAGGACTACCAAACTGAAGATCTAGATATAGCTTTGAAGATTTCCGTTGACACCATCCTATCTGAGGAATGGTGTTGACTATTGTTGTATCCTGAGGACAGGAATCATCAACCACCTGTGACTATTGTCAAAGAGAATGTGCTGTAGGCAGTGAGTGACCATGGTGTGTAGGGCAAGGTCTGCACTTGCTGAGAGAATGGAGGAAAGGATTGTCTTTGTCACTAGGTTATCGCCTACACAAATACTTGTACTTGATATTGTACTTTATGACACTTCCATTACATTACCATTACTTCAGCGTATTTCATCTGTGAGGGTGATTTCCGTTGCAAATTGTAGAATGTGGTGGATAACAGGTGACATGCAGCTGCAAAATCGTCTTTTGTAAACAGCTCTTGATGAACGTTTATTATAGAACAGTTTTTTTTTCAATATGTGTGTAATAGTATCACATATTGAAAACAAAATTTTGCTAGAAATGAATTTTACTGGGACATTAGGTGTATACCTGTTATGTATGAATACCACTCAAACTCCAAAAATCTTCCCGACCGAGAAAAACTGTTACATAATGTCATTATATTTCCTAAATAGATGTTTTTTTTCTGTTTTCCATGTGCCTATTGCACCAATGTTTTTGCTTTTATTTATTTCTCCATTACTGCATAATTGTTCTAGGTGTTTTTTTTTATTTATTTGAGTTACTAAATCTAACTCATTCCCTCTGAATGTGGTCCTTTTCCCATTCTCCCAAGTCTCCTTTTCATCCATCAACTTTTTTGTTTTTACTTATTTCATGATCAATTTGAAACTTTTCTGATTAATTCCCCATATACTCAACTGGAGGGCGAGGATGAAGTCAATGGTCCGTCGGTGTGATCTGCACCGTGGGTTCTATATTTCGTTTGGTTGTCTGCAGACTTCTCATCATCTTACCTGTTTTGTTATCGTCTGGGAATTGATCTTATCCTGGTTTTAAACCTTTCATAGGATTGTGAACAATTTCCCAGACTTAGTCTCCTGTTCCTCAGAGTAATGGCGTGTAAAGACAGAGTCCAACATCAGTCACATATTCTTAACCTGCCTTTAAGTTAACAGGATGAATCTTATTCACTTCTTTGTTTTTTTGCTGCAGGTAAGATGTATGCGGTGCTGGGCCGTCGCCATGGCAGAATCCTCCACGGGGACATGACCCAGGGCTCCGCCTCGTTCACGGTGGAAGCGGTGTTGCCTGTGGTGGAGAGTTTCTTGTTCGCTCCGGAGATGAGGAAACAAACTTCAGGACTGGCGAGTCCGCAGCTAGTCTTTAGCCACTGGGAGGTGAGTCGAAGACATTGACACATTTCTTTCGCATTGCTAAATCTGAGCGTGGTATAGAAAAACTTCTTATTATACAAATGAAATAACTTTTAGCCATTGGGAGTTGAGTCGAAGACACTGAGAAAGTTCTGTTTAAACCTTAGGTTGATATAAATAAACTACTCATAGTACAAATTAAATAGCTGCCAACTTTTTTCATCATTGCGCGTTGATGAAAAAATCAACCAATATTCATTATAAATGCTCTTTATAAATAAATACGCTTATAATTGCACTTTTCAGGATGTGTTAATGAATACAGTATTGGTTGAACATACTCACTTACACTATTCAAAGTTAATTACGGTATTTAGTACATTTAGTACTCGTGAGTTGTGTAGGCTACAAATGACTGGTGGTAAAATGCAGGGTGCCTTTTTAACGCAACCCAAATTACAAGTACCGTTAGACAATAGAATCGATCCGTAAACCTTGTAGATGTTCAAGCAAAAATGCATAAAATTAGCTGTCCATAAACAGGGATATCCGCATAGTAACTGGGGTTTCGTTGAAAAGGGCCTCACTTTACGTAGTTGTAATTATTTGGATTGCGTTAAAAAACCCCTGCATATAAAAATATTCATTCGGTCTACCATCTAATGTCGGTTCTACAATATTGCATTAACGGTTATTTAGTATTACCACCAGAGAAATTGATCTGTGTAACCTTCACAATAATAATCTTCTCCTTTCTGATAATAAGAATTATTTGCATTTCCAAATCAAAATTTAGATCTACTTTAGATGTACTGTACTACTACATCATAGATCCACATGTATTTTTCATTTATAGCTATTTCATTTGTAGCTTTGATCTTTGACGTTCTTAACCTCTTTTGTCGTCCACTTCATGACTATATTTTCTAGTTCGTACCTTTCCACCCCATCACGACGGACTGGACGGTCTATTGAGACCGTATCATTTTGATATTATATTAATTAACTATATTAAGCATATTTAGCCAAGCATGGCTATAAAATGAGTGTGAATTGGACCAGATGCATTTTGTAGCTTTGTTACTGACTGAAAACCAGGAGATTTTTATCCCCAAAACATAAACGATAGTCCAATGATCAATGACATCTGGCTACATATTCGAGCATATAAAAAAACTATTTAACCCCGCTAGCATCAAACTCCCACCTTCTGATTGCTCTATCTATATCATGGTAAATCTGTTCCAAACTTCATGATGATATATTTTGACCCGTTCTGGCAGGGTACGTTATAAATAACCCAGTTAAACGTGGCGGATAGGTTTCAGATGGAACGGGTTTTAGAGAAATTGTGGGGTAGTGACGAGTGTCGAATGTCGGATGGTAGTGGTAGTGGAGTGTGGTGGTCGAACGACCGGTCTGATGGGATACCCGAGCCGTTCTGCGGTCGCCGTGGGGACGCGTGCCGGAGTCTACATCAACCGAGGACGACTCCTGTGGACAACGCAGACTATTCCGTGTGGAAAAACAAAATGTAAACACCTTTCAACCGAGGGTTTGCCCTAAATATTGCCAGGAATAAAGGAGACGTTACAACAAGAAGAATACCAACGAACGTGTTTGTGTTTGCAGGTGTAACTTGTAATTGATTGGGTCCTTTACCCCATTTAATTTGTATTGAGCAGTATGATTGAACAAATACAACAAAAACATTAGACATATTATACATATATATGGAGAAACATTACACTATATAGTACCTTAACATTTTCTTAAACCAAATTCTGAGTTAAATTCCAGTAACAATTTAATCGTAAACACTTTTTCACTGAATGATTTTTATTCAGGGCACCATACTCAATATTAAACAGTCAGGAGTTTGAAACAAATATTAAGATACGTTACACCAATGCCTAATAAGGAAATCAAACGAAAACCCTATATTCATAATTGATCTTTGAGTTTAAAGTTATATTATTAATATTATTATTCCATGGTTGTAGACGAACAGTGGGTAAAAATAATATAAATCCTGGTATTCAAATAGTCAAAAATGTACTAACATTTCAAATAAGATTCCTACGTTGGCGTGAATGTACTGCAAACGAGACGGACGGGAGTAGTTGTACATAAAGTAACTAAGGAAATGTAATAAGGGTAATGTAAAAGATAAGTCTATATAGAGCTGAAAGCCGGTTACAAGACGAAGTGGGTGTAACACAGGGCGTAGCTGCTGCCCACAGCTTCCATACCTTGAGGCGGCGAGATCTCTACCTACCACCACCGCCACTCTACCACTCTACCATGACACCGTGCTACAACAGTACGTAGCTGCTGCCCACAGCTTCCATACCTTGAGGCGGCGAGATCTCTACCTACCACCACCGCCACTCTACCACTCTACCATGACACCGTGCTACAACAGTACGTAGCTGCTACCCACAGCTTCCATACCTTGAGGCGGCGAGATCTCTACCTACCACCACCGCCACTCTACCACTCCACCATGACACCGTGCTACAACAGTACGTAGCTGCTGCCCACAGCCTTCATACCTTGAGGTGGCGAGATCTCTACCAACCACCACCGCCACTCTACCACTCTACCATGACACCGTGCTACAACAGTACGTAGCTGCTACCCACAGCTTCCATACCTTGAGGTGGCGAGATCTCTACCTACCACCACCGCCACTCTACCACTCTACCATGACACCGTGCTACAACAGTACGTAGCTGCTGCCTACAGCTTCCATACCTTGAGGCGGCGAGATCTCTACCTACCACCACCGCCACTCTACCACTCTACCATGACACCGTGCTACAACAGTACGTAGCTGCTGCCTACAGCTTCCATACCTTGAGGCGGCGAGATCTCTACCTACCACCACCGCCACTCTACCACTCTACCATGACACCGTGCTACAACAGTACGTAGCTGCTACCCACAGCTTCCATACCTTGAGGCGGCGAGATCTCTACCTACCACCACCGCCACTCTACCACTCCACCATGACACCGTGCTACAACAGTACGTAGCTGCTACCCACAGCTTCCATACCTTGAGGCGGCGAGATCTCTACCTACCACCACCGCCACTCTACCACTCTACCATGACACCGTGCTACAACAGTACGTAGCTGCTGCCTACAGCTTCCATACCTTGAGGCGGCGAGATCTCTACCTACTACCACCGCCACTCTACCACTCTACCATGACACCGTGCTACAACAGTACGTAGCTGCTGCCCACAGCTTCCATACCTTGGGGTGGCGTGATCTCTACCTACCACCACCGCCACTCTACCACTCCACCATGACACCGTGCTACAACAGTACGTAGCTGCTGCCCACAGATTCCATACCTTGAGGTGGCGAGATCTCTACCTACCACCACCGCCACTCTACCACTCCACCATGACACCGTGCTACAACAGTACGTAGCTGCTGCCCACAGCTTCCATACCTTGAGGCGGCGTGATCTCTACCTACCACCACCGCCACTCTACCACTCTACCATGACACCGTGCTACAACAGTACGTAGCTGCTGCCCACAGCTTCCATACCTTGAGGTGGCGAGATCTCTACCTACCACCACCGCCACTCTACCACTCTACCATGACACCGTGCTACAACAGTACGTAGCTGCTGCCCACAGCTTCCATACCTTGAGGTGGCGAGATCTCTACCTACCACCACCGCCACTCTACCACTCCACCATGACACCGTGCTACAACAGTACGTAGCTGATGCCCACAGCTTCCATACCTTGAGGCGGCGAGATCTCTACCTACCACCACCGCCACTCTACCACTCTACCATGACACCGTGCTACAACAGTACGTAGCTGCTGCCCACAGCTTCCATACCTTGAGGTGGCGAGATCTCTACCTACCACCACCGCCACTCTACCACTCTACCATGACACCGTGCTACAACAGTACGTAGCTGCTGCCCACAGCTTCCATACCTTGAGGCGGCGAGATCTCTACCTACCACCACCGCCACTCTACCACTCTACCATGACACCGTGCTACAACAGTACGTAGCTGCTGCCCACAGCTTCCATACCTTGAGGTGGCGAGATCTCTACCTACCACCACCGCCACTCTACCACTCCACCATGACACCGTGCTACAACAGTACGTAGCTGCTGCCCACAGCTTCCATACCTTGAGGTGGCGAGATCTCTACCTACCACCACCGCCACTCTACCACTCTACCATGACACCGTGCTACAACAGTACGTAGCTGCTGCCCACAGCTTCCATACCTTGAGGCGGCGAGATCTCTACCTACCACAAAAGCATAATGGTCTTGAAATCACCCCCCATCACATGGAAAGCCTCAGTCTCCGAATTGTACTTAGTCTTCATCGCATGTACTCTCGAATGACGGAGCGCGACCGGTTTCATTCATAAACGTGGAAAAACCGGAGTGCAAAAAACGGATCTGACGAATTTCGCAGAGGGAATTAAAACGGCTTGTGAATGGACTCTACGCCGGAAGCGATTTTTCTGCAACTAATGAATGATTTAATAGTGAGCCAGCAAGCTCGCAGCCTCGGGACCAGTCCACGATTCGACCGGTTTCTCGTTTCTTCAGCGATTTTATTTATAGGAGTGGCCGCCTTTATTGTTTTATTCTACTTCTTGTCTTTGATTTATTAGTTTACTTAAAATGTATGTTTTTACATTCCGGATTGGCAAGTTCTTTTTCTGTAACGGTTTGACTTTTTACTGGTGCGGTTCGCCTATTAGAAAACGTTATATAAAATCAATATCTTGATATACGTACTGTATGGTTATATTGGAGGACTACTTTGGAATTCTTCTTGCTTGTGATTTCGTTTTTATCCCAAATTACGTCAACTAACAAATTACCACTTCTACCAAAGATAATCGAAACTACGTCTTCATAGTTTTTCACGGCACATAACCATATTTCCGAGTCACCTAGCATGACAGTGTTTATTCTGCCTCCTATTCGGTGCCGCTAGTCGGCTGCATGTATAATTAACTTAAC